AGAGAGAGAGAGAGAGAGAGAGAGAGAGAGAGAGAGAGAGAGAGATGCGAACTGAGAGCGGAGAGACTTCAGACAACACACAAGACGAGAGCTCGCTGAAGTCAGAAGCTGTCCAGATCCCTGTGGATGAACCTGGACGGAGTGCTGGGAAGACTCATTTGGATAGGGAGCTTGGCATGCTTACCATGGTCGGAGGCGCAGGAGGAGCTCCGCTAGTCAGAAACCGATAGCAATGAGGACACATCTGCAGTCCCCATGATCCCCATCCCCGCCCCAACCCCGGCAGGCGATCATCAAGTGATTCGCCCGTGCACCGACAGATATGGCCCATATCACACCCACAACCATGAATGCAAAAGATTACATAAACAATAAGCTAGTGAAAATAATAAAGCAAACAGCACCGCACAGCTTTCTTACTTGACTCACAATCCACTGCCTGACCTACGCTGCAGTATCGCCATCAGATAGGAGCAGCCAAGGAAGCTCACACCGCCCACCTACACACTTGCAGTAAACCGCAAAACACCCCTTCTTGCACTTATATAGGTCCATAGTAACGTCGAAAAACAACTTCAAACTTGAACTACCGACTTCCCGCAAATAAAACACACGGTCATTATAGCTGTGTCGTATTTGGGGCAACTTTCAGTCTAGATACAGCAATAATGACCATGTGTGCTACTCACAGATGAAGACGGTAAATGAACTGCCTAAGTCCACTTTCGTGCAAAAATGATGATTCATAGAGTTCGTAAAACAATAACGAAGTCCACGACCAAGTGCGCTTCCTGAGACGTGGACCAGAACAAGGACAACGGCGGCAGTATTTGGGCCAACTTTCAGTCCAGATACCTGGGCTTCCTTGTTCAAAGTCAGCACGAACCTGGCCTTCAGGGGCTCCCATGCCATCCTGACTGAACAAGGCCACACTGAACTTAGCAGAGACTCAGCCCAATGGGCGCTGCCTTGTTCACGTTCGCCTGTGGTGCCAAGTCTCCGTACCAAGTTGGCACCCACCCAGGCCCTGCTCCGGACTATGGGCCCTGGTTCACGTTCACATCTGGTGCTAAATCTGTGCTAAGGTGGCACCCACCTGGGCCCACCTGTGCCCTGCTTCAGCTTCGACTGTAGGCCTCGGAAACACTTCTTTTTTCTCAAAGACCACCTAAGTTCGTATTCAGTTAATAACGTAAGACCACATGAAGACCACAATAATAAGTGTATAATACAGTAATACCATGGTGGTGCGTGTATAATACACTAATACCACGGTGGGTGCCACCTTATTAGCACAGACTGTTTTTTACCCCTGCGGGCCCGCCAGGGGAGCCGCAAAGGAGTAGTAGTTAAGATTCCCACGGGAACCACATACTGGCTTACTTCATAGAGGTATGGAAAACTTAATTGAATGCATAAAACCTACCTACAAGCTTTGCCTTATTTCGATCGATTAGATTATGCTTCTATGATGGCACAGGAACATGCTTATTCTCTAGCTGTAGAAAAACTTTGGTTCACGTGCACACCGTGGTGATAAATCTGCCCTAAGGTGGGATACACCTGAGCCCTTTTTCAGCTTAGACTCTGGGCCCTGGTTCACGTTTGCCTGTGGTTCTAAGTCTGTGCTAAGTTGGCACCCACCTGGCCCCGGCTTCAGCTTCGACTATGGGCCCTGATAGGTCCAAACGTAGCCCCTAATTCAGCTTCGATTACGGGCCCTGATAGCACCTGCTTCAACTTCGACTATGGGCCCTGATGGGTCCGGACTTGGCCCCTAATTCAGCTTCGACTATGGGCCCTGATAGCCCCTGCTTCAGCTTCGACTATGGGCCCAGATGGGTGTCCCACGTCCGCACTTATCTGAGCCTTGTACAGAGGGAAAGCTCCGCCTTCCCTGGCTCAGTTTCCCACTGGGCCTATGCCCGTGCTCGGTTCGCAAATACTGGACCTGGCACTGCTGCTATGTCTGGGCTAAGTTAGTGTACGCATCTCCTGCTCCATCTATCCCCTGACGGAACTGGTTGACGTCCAACCGAGCACTGACGTCATAACTGAACAGCTCCACAGTAGACTTAGCACACACAGAACACGGACACGAGACCCCAGCGGAGCCTGGTCCATCAGCATAAACCCGACCGGGCCAAGTGATCCATATCCAGAGTCTGTACCACGTCTGTCCTGAGTCCGTACTATGTCTGTTCAAGTCGGGCCTGACAGAGCACGCCCATGGTAAGGACTCTGTACCCTAGACCTTACCATGGTCAACTCTGTACCATGGTCCCAGGACAGACATGGTACAGACCATGGACCTGTTCGGTCAGGTCCATGATCATGGTACAGAGTTGACCATGGTAGACTCAGGACAGACATGGTACAGACCATGGACCTGTTCGGTCAGGTCCATGACCATGGTACAGAGTTGACCATGGTAGACTCAGGACAGACATGGTACAGACCAGGCCAAGTGGTCCTACGTGCAAGCAGTGTGACCAAGCCCTTCCCAATGGGGTTGGAAAGACCAGCCAGCCCTCTGGTAAACACCACTCCCATCTTCCCCCCTCACCACCCCTCCCTCCTCCCACCCATTTGCTCGTAAATCCTTCTTGCCCTGCAGATGTGAAGGCACTCGACCAGGAGGAATACCATCGGACATGGAGCAGATATGGAGCAGACATGGAGGTCAATTTAATAGCCTTCCTCAATTCAGTGATTCTTTTGGATTGAGGACAAAAGGCCATACACAGCACATGGACAGCCGTTGACGAGAGGGCCGCTTGCTTTTCCATTTCCGATAAAAAGAAAAAAGGGGGAAAACGAGAAACGCGAGCATGGGCACCGTGATCCTAAAGAGTATTCTGTCCTAAAGATTATTCTGGAATTACAACGGGTAGACCTCGCCTGCTCTCATAATACGCACTCGAGGCGAGGGCCTCAACACCTCGAGACTAAATAACAAAAACGCGAAGCATGTTCAGCTGTCAAGGGATAGCTGTCATTAGACTCATTACTCAGTCACATTTTTTTCATCTTCCGGACAACATAGGGTGTTGATGCAGCGCGCTGTAAACGCACATACCACAGGAAAACGGCCAGATGGCCGATACGACGAACACTGCTCCTTTATGCATTTCTATTTCGGGGGGGGGGGGGGGGGGGGGGGGGGGGGGGGGGGGTGGAGACAGAGAATCCCCTCCGCACGTTGTAACCCCCTACTTTCTTTACTAGCTTCATATGTTTTGCCTGCCCAAATTCTACTCCGGTTTCTCTCTCTCTCTCTCTCTCTCTCTCTCTCTCTCTCTTCCACAAGAACAAAACTGTTACACTTAGTTTCTTACTCCACTTCATTTTCTCATTCAATTCCACGAATTACACAAGTAATTTGAAGTAAAACATTTTAGTATTTTACACCTTACCATCTTTGCCCAGATAGAACGTACGGTCATTGTCGCTCCTGTATCAACTGAAAGTTGCCCCGAATACAGCTATAATAAGGATTCTATTCAGAGGGATGGCACAAGGGTTTTTCAACAAAAAAAAGAAAAGGATTCTATTCAGGGGGAGACTGGAGAGCCTGTAGTTTCTCGGCTTATTACTCCATTGCGTTTTCTCTTCCAATTCCATGAAGAGTTTTGTTACTTCCAAAAGTCGACTCTATAAGGCCAAATTGAGGAAGAAGTCAGAAGAACCGGTCCATTTTTCTTTAGAAAAAGACGACACAAATCGACTATCTACTCTAATCCAAAAAATGACACACCCGCCACATCATTTCACATGGATCACCAACTGGGTAAGGCTACACAGGCCAGAACAAAAAGAAAGAAGAGCAAGAAGAAAAAGAAGAAACAAAAGAATAAGAGCAACAAGACAAGCAAGAAGGAAGAAGAAGAGCAACAGAGTAACAAGGCAAGAAAAGAGAAGAGTGACAAGAAGACCAAGAAGAACAAGAGGAAGAAGAAGAGAAAGAAGACAAGAAAAACAAACAGAGCAAGAAGAAGAAGAAGAAGAAGAAGAAGAAGAAGAAGAAGAAGAGGAAGAAGACAAGAAAAACAAACAGAGCAACAAGAAGAAGAAGAAGAAGAAGAAGAAGAAGAATCAAGTATTGACTTGGGAATTGAATTGAGAATGGCGAGGCCAATCCCGAAACCATCCACTGTCAGGAAGTTTTCAGCAAGACAGCCACACGCAAATAGCCAACGCTCAAACCCGAGATCAAGAAGAAGAAGATAACGACGAGGACGACGACGACGACAACCAACAACAACAACAACAACAACAACAACAATGAGGAGGAGGAAGAGGAAGAGGAGGAGATAGAACGATGGAAAGACAAGGACGAGGACGACCACGACCAACAACAACAACAACAACAACAACAACAACGAGGACAAGGACGAGGACGAGGAGGAGAAGGACGAGGAGGAGATAGAACGATGGAGGAGGACGAGGAGGAGGAGATAGAACGATGGAGGAGGAGGAGGAGGAGAGAGAATGATGATGAAGACAAATTGGACGAAGAAGAAGAACAGTTGCAGAACATAAAACAGAAGAAGGAAGTTGCTACTGGACTATGCTACTGCAGCTAGTGGACTTTCAAACAAAGACGTGTGTGGGAACTTCCCGCTCGAGCACACATATATATACCCGTAGACGTGTGGGAATGCACTAAAAAGTGTGGGAATCCTTCACCTGAAACAGAGCCGCATAACATGCTTTCTTCTTTTCTTGTTAAGCTTCCATTCTTTCAGTCCTGTCCTGTCCGATGAATCGTCATCTGTTCGCTCGCTGCTTGCTAGCCTTCTTCCCCCCAATACAACATACGGTCATTATAGCTGTATTTGGCGTGTCTTTCAGTCTAAATATAGCTATAGTGACCGTACGTTGTTTTCGGGGGAAGAAAGTAGCCTTCAGATTTACGTATTGCATGATGCACCTCCTCACTCTTCAGTGAACCACCAGCTCACACGATCCTACGTTGTCGAAGCCACCTTCCAACCCTGGCGAGCCTCGGACTGCGCCTTTTCAATGTGGCCTGACACATTCACTACCGGCCCAGGCCCAAATCAAAAAGCTCTTTCCACATATTATATCCGTAGAAGCCCTTCTCTGCTTCGCCTGAACGGGGGCACAACTTATTCCCTCCTGCTGCTTTCTACCTCCTCGCATTCACTTTTGATTATACAGTATCATAACTTCATAGAAAAAGTACAGTATTTAACTTTGGGGTGATCGCTACATGCTCCT